TCTGCGATGATACGCTCAAGAAGTTTGCCCGCCTCGTCGAGCAGCACTATGGGCCGGTACGCGGACGGTGAGTCCGCGGGGCGCCCCTCCTTCCTGAGTAGGACCAGCCTTCCCTCCTTCCACACACTGGGAAGCTGACCCTGCTCGAGACATGCCGTGAAGAGCCCCCTCAGCTGGGGCTCCAGCTCCTTCAGAGCCAGGACGAGAGCTCGACCAGGAACTCCGTCGGGTCCGGGCGCTGTGTTCTTGGCCCGAAGTCGCGCCATGGCCGCTCTCATCTCTGCTTGCGTCACCTTGGGGACATCGGTGCTCTCCTCCTCTGGAGAGTCTGTGGCTGAGGGCGAAGCCACCGCCGGGGGAAACCTAACTTACCCCCGTTCCGTCCCGCCCGCCGACGCATACGCCACGTTTTCGAACCGCTCCTGTGCTTTAAAATCCTTAAAAATAGTCAAAGTTCCCCGATTTTCTTGAAATTTTCTGTGAATGTGTGTTTTGTGCTGTGCTATCCTGTGGTAGTGTTGGTTCAGTGGTTTTTGAAGATTTGGGTCGTTTTTGCTGAAGTTTTCTCTCAGGGATAACCTAAAAATTGCAAAAGGTAATATTTTTATAATACTTTTGCTTACGCTGCCTTATTAAGATCAGTAACCTATATGGTTTTTTATGTCATCTTGTAGGTCTTATTAGGGTCTATATATCCCCGTTTATTTCAGATTTTTGCGCCCAAGAACCATTGAATTATTACACTTTTCCTAAAAAACCACGTGGCGTGAAAATTTTTTCTATACGCCTGTGCTTATTTTGTAGCACGCCTTTGGATAGGGCACGTCTTGCGCAACACACCTAAACTTTTTTCATGAAAATCGGAGTTGTAATCACGAAGTTATTAACGTTTAAACTGTTTTTATTTACAATGAAAAAATTCTAGATCGAATATTTCGTGATTTTCAGCGACGACCTATACTTTTTATTTCATTTTATTGTGGGCATTTTAGCTAGGAAAGTCTTCGCCGAAAATGAGATTTTTCTACTGTAGCGTTTAAATTTTATGGATTTTTTAACGAAAAAGTCCTTCCACGAGGACCTACTTCCAGACCTCTGCGGCTACTTCTGCATTTACCTTAAATTACATACATAATTTTAATATAGATTTCCGTTTTTAGAATTTCATTTGCTTATCTAGTTTCATAATTACGCAATTTTTTGTGTTTCTTTTGTGTTTTTTCGTTATTAATTACAAATAAATAATAATTCTCCAAATATCATCAAATCTTCATAATCCGCTCATTGTGAGCTATCCGTAGAGCCCAAACTCGACTATATTATCTGTTATAATTCCAAAGTTAGATAAATTTAAACTAACTGGCCGCCATATTGGAAAGTTCATTTTTTGAATTCCTCATGAAGTTATTGGCCGAAATTGGTCGTGTGTGGACTTAAATTTATCAGGAGAGCTTAAATAAAGCGGTTATATAGTCAGCGTGAGGCAAAAAATTTAGGTGGCCATTAGCCCATAAACACATTCTCTATATTATTCCCTACAGATTGAGCCCAAACTCGAGCCGTTTCGATTAATAAACACCTCCTTGGCAACGGAAATAATAATCAAGTCGGCCATATTGGAAATTTTATTTTTCGAATTTCTTGCGAAGTTACTGGCCAAAAGTGGCCGTGTTTGGACTTAAATTGATCAGGAGAGCCTAAGGAAGGCGATTGTATAGTCAGTGTGAGGAAAAAAATTTAGGTGGCCATTAGCCCATAAACACATTCTGTATATTATTCCCTACAGATTGAGCCCAAACTCGAGCCGTTTCGATAAATAAACACAGTCTTGGCAACGGAAATAATAATCAAGTCGGCCATATTGGAAATTTTATTTTTTGAATTTCTCGCGAAGTTACCGGCCAAAAGTGGTCGTGTTTGGACTTAATTCAATCAGGAAGGTTTGGGTGAAGCGATAGTTTGGTCAGTGGACGAAAATATTTAGGAGGCCCACTAGTCCAAAAAATACGCTCTCTATATTATTCACCACAGTTTGATTCTAGTCTCGAGTTAACTATTTAATAGGTACCGCTTTGGCAACAACAAAAAAAAAGAGTTATTGAATAGGCCATATTGGAAAATTTCAACCGTAAATTGCTCAGAACATACAAAATTTAGACCACCCGTGCTTGGGCTCAAATAACTGGGCATCAGGCAAGGTATCTAACAGACCTATAGATTACTCAATTTACCCGACCTCCGACAAAAAAAAAAGAAAAGAAAAACTGCCAAAATGTCAACCAAATCCACCATCTCTGGCGCTGGCACAGCTAAAACAAGGTCTTCTAAGACAAGCAGAGCTGCGAGTCCAACTCCCAGTGGTCTGCGCAAGAAGGTCTTATTACAGAATGCAGCTACGTCTGGAAAAACTGCAGATGAAGCATTCGCTAGCAAGAACTATATTGTCACCGAGCCGTGCACTGATACAGCCAGTTCTGCCCAATCAAGCAAGGGTACCGGGGAAGAGGGCGATCAGGCTAAGCAGCCCGAACCAGTAACGCGTGAAGAAGTCACAGAAGCTAGCTCGGTTACAATGGACTTGGAAAAAGAGCTAGCCTTATTAGGGCAATGCAAGCCGGTACGGGAAACCGACGACGACTGGTCCGAAGGAGACAGCATCTATAGTACTAACAGCAGAAGGTCGAGTATACTGCCTCCCACCTATAAACGAGCGGGAATATCTATGGACCTAGCTACCCAACGCGCCAATGACTTCCTGCAATCTGGCAAGGAAGCCCTAGAAAAAGCGGGCAACATGAAGAGAGAGTGCAAAAGTGAGGTGCACGACTCTCTTCAAGGCTTATATGAAACGGTGCTGTCACTTTCCGACTCCCGCTCGCGACACCGGCTAGCCCTAGAACAAGAAAAACGTCGAGCAGCTAAGGAATTAGTTAGAATAGAAAGAGCGCACAATAAGCAACTGGCAGAGATTCAAACACTGCATCACAATAAGATTAAAGAGATATTCGAAGCAGTGAAAAGTTCGGTTAGTGGTGTTGAGGCAATCCGCAGTTGGCTGAATTACGAAATGGATGAACCTCTTAAAACCATTAACAAAATTCAAGCAGAAGTGCGAGGCTTAGCAACCAAAGCACAACCACCGCTAGCTGGGACTAGCTCGATTACGTGCACGAAGACCTGCACTGAGTATCTTACGCACCTCAATGGAAAGATAGCCGATATGACTAACCAGCTTGTAGGTTTGACCATGTCAATCAACGAGCTTTCTAAGCTTCAAGCTGAAGAACCGCCACACCTGCCGGTCCAAACAGAAATAAGAGCCCCAGATGATTGTCGTTTTGGAGAAATAATAAACCATATTCTTGAAACCAAAGATATGATACAGACCCTTCAAAACATCCCACCAACAGGAATAGACCAAAGAAAAGAGCTAGAAGCGGCGTTGCATCCGATAGCTCATATGGTTAAAACCTTACTAACAGAGATAAATGAGCTAAAGGATTGCACCACCGCACATGCGGCATTTCAAGGAAATTCAGGGCTAGGTACCGAGCTAGCCGTAACGGATATTAAGGATAAAATAGAAGAGTTAAGAAAAGTCTTTAGTAATAGACAGAATACAGACTACAACAAAGAGGAAGACCATCACAACAAAACAGCGCCACAACCATCAGTTACAAAGTCATCTTCACCGCATAAACTTACATACGCTGAAGCTACGGTAACGCCTCGATACGCAATGGTCCTGGAATCTATAGACCCGCGATCCACGAGCGACGAGATCCTGAAACAGGTTAAAAAAGAGGTTGACCCAGTTAAACTTGGTGTTGGCGTGAACAGAATAACTAAAATACGGAATCAAAGAGTTATTATCAGCTGTGATTCACAACTAGATAGGCAAACCTTAAAAAAAGCGATTAGAGATACATGCAACAGTCTGACTGTTTCAACCACTTCTGTAAAACATCCTCAGTTACGCCTAATAGGTATCACTAATGAGCTTAATGACGATAAACTAGTAAAAGCAATTCTTAGTCAAAACTCAAAATTAATTACAGACTTAGACGATGAACAAAAATTCGCTAAAGTTCTTCGCAGAACTAAAGGCAGGACACGAGACCTAATCAATGTTATTCTGGAAGTCACGCCGCAAATGTGGATTCGACTAAAGGACCAGAAATTGCGTATAGGTTTTCAGGTAATCCCCTGCTTTGATCAGTCTCCTCTTATACAGTGCTACAAGTGCCTGAAATTCAATCATAGAGCGAAAGATTGCACAAATGACCTAATCTGCGGGTACTGCTCTGGAAGCCATGATACAAGGACATGCTCGAACAGAAACGTGGCTCCATCCTGCAATAATTGCAACAGATCGGGTAAAGAAAATGCTACCCATCCCGCATATAGCCCCGAGTGTCCAGAGTGGCAAAAATGGGACAATATATCAAGGAGCTCTGTGTCATACTGTTAAGACTTGGTTAACCAAACTAATGAAACAGGAACACCAGGTAATCTCGATAGCAAAAAAAATTGTTAAAGTGGCACAATACAACCTTGATCGAGGCCGCGCGGCAACACTTGAGTGCTTACGGGCTGCAACCACACAAGGCTTTTCCATCATATTGATGCAGGAACCTTATGTTGGGGCAAAGGCACACTTAACTGTGGGCCCGCAATACCGTGTAATCCAAAAAGTTAGTAATGACATCAATAAGCCAGTGAGATCTGCAATAGTTGTCTTAGACCCTAACATTAACTTCACCATTAACCCAAACATACTAACCGAAGACATCGTAGGTATAGTACTAAAAATAGGTAATCTTAACATTGGCTTCATCAGCATCTACTTGCATGAAAAAGGCGTAATTGAAGAAGACTTAATAACGATTAAGAATTTTGTGAAAGCAATGCAGACAGAAGATATTATCATCGGTGGCGATGCAAATGCCAGTAGCATCTGGTGGGGCTGCAAAGCAGATGACAACAGAGGAACACAGGTTATGGAAACATTAGCTGAACTTAACTTGGAGGTAGTTAATACGGGAAAAAAGCCTACTTTTAGTGCATACAGAAGAGACACCCTCTGCTCCAGCATTATAGACATTACCGCCTGTACAACATCACTATTGCATAAGATTGAGAATTGGAGAGTTGACGATTCCTTTTGTACTTTATCTAATCATAAGCCAATTCTTTTCAAATTTAGTACGACAACTTCATTTATTGAGTCAAAAATCAACAGCACCAGGAAATACAACACAAGGAAAGCAAACTGGAGCCATTTCAACGTTGAACTCAAGAGGGCACTAGACAACAACGGCCTAACCAAAGAAAGAATAGGAGTTATTAGGACGACACAGGAGATTGATGAATTCGTAAAAACATATACAGAATGCATAACAAAGGCATGCGATGAGACGATTCCGAAAATAGAACGAAAACAGTTACCAAAAGCCGCTAAATGGTGGAACACCGAAATTAAAGAAAAAAAGGAGATCATGATCAGATTACGAAGAAGAATAAGGAATGCACACCCTACAAGAAAGAACTGGGTCATAGAACAATATCTCCAAGCACGAAAACAATATAAGGAAAGTATAGAAGACGCCACAACCAAAAGCTGGAAAGAACTATGCACGAACGAGCAGAAAGAAAACGTGTGGCAACGCACATATCGGATATTGAAGGTCTGTTCTAATGTGGAGGGAGACAAACTGCTCAAAGACCAAAATGGGACAATCCTTTCAGAAAAAGGGTCAGCAACACTTCTAGCTGAAACCTTTTACCCCAAAGATAATCCAAACACCGATACTAAGGAACAGGATGACATAAGAACAAAAACAAATGAACTTATAGCACAACTCGAAAACAAAGCATTAGAAGTTAAGACACCATTCGCTAGAACTGAAATAGATCAAATACTAAGCAACATGAGCCCTAAAAAAGCCCCGGGTGAGGATGGCCTGACATCCGATATATGCCAAACAGCTTATAATAGTAACCCAGAAGTGCTGGAACTACTCTACAATAAGTGCCTCGAACTGGGATATTTCCCCAAAGATTGGAAAAAGGCAACTATTAAAGTAATCCCAAAACCCAGTAAAGAAGATTATACCAATCCAAAGGCATACAGACCCATTGGCTTGCTACCAGTACTGGGTAAAATACTGGAAAAACTTTTTACGAATAGAATTCAGTGGCAGTTAGGAAAAGACGAAAAATTGAACCAGAGACAATATGGATTCACTCCACAGAGAAGCACGGAGGATGCCCTATATGATACTATTACACTAATTAAGAATGGACTTAAGAAGAAAGAAATAGTCATACTAGTGTCATTAGATATTGAGGGCGCATTCGATAATGCATGGTGGCCTGCTATTATCACTGAACTTAAAAACAAACAGGTTGAACCTATGGTGTTAAGACTCATAATTAGCTACTTATCAGATCGTGAAATAAACTTAAGTTACGCAAACGAAAAGATCACTATAAAAACCAATAAAGGATGTATTCAAGGATCAACTTGCGGTCCCATGCTGTGGAATATCCAACTTGATCCCCTATTACAGGCAACGGAAAACGCGGGAGCTCACGTTCAAGCCTTTGCAGACGACATCTTAATAATAGCCTCGAACAAAGATGGCCAAAAACTTGAAAAGGATGTTAATGATACACTTAAGACAATAGTAGAGTGGGGACAAAGACACAAGCTTAAATTTGCCCCACATAAGACTCAAAGTACAATAATTACCAAAAAGCATAAATTCCATTGTCCCAAACTGCTAATGGATGGTGTAACCTTAACGTATATAGATCAAATCAAAATTTTAGGATTAATTATTGATAAAAACTTTAACTTTAAGCCACATTTAGATTATGTTTGCAGTAAAGCAGTTCGACTCTACAAGATGGTATCAAGAGCAGCAAGAGCACAATGGGGTCTCAACTCGGACATAGTAAGAACCATCTACCAGGCTGTAGTTGAACCAACTATTTTGTATGCTGCGAGCTGCTGGGCAGAAGCCACAAATAAAAAATACATAAGCCGAATGCTCAATAGGCTTACACGAATGTTTAGCATTCGTATTTGCAAAGGCCATAAAACCATTTCCCTTGTTTCCAGTGCGCTACTAGCTCAGATTATACCTCTAGCGCTACGAGCCAAGGAAAACGCCGAATTGTACGAAATCAAAAGAGGCAAGCCCATTGAGTCACTCCCTGGGAGACAATTGGAAATGAGAATCAGTCCTTTCCACTTACCACACCCCTCACTAAGAACCAAGAGGGAGTACAAGCTAATAACCTGCCAAGAAGACATCGATCAAATTGACAATGACTGGCCAAAGCTTTATACAGACGGCAGTAAAATAGACAATAAGGTAGGTGCGGCTGTTTCAGTATGGAAAAATGGAACGGAAACCAAAACCATCACCTGTAGGCTCGAAAGCTACTGCAGCGTATACCAAGCCGAGCTAATTGCAATTTTGAAGGCAGTTACATATATGTTAGAAAAGAAAAACCTTAAAGCCAACATCCTTAGTGACTCTAGATCAGCAGTAATAACTCTTTGTAATCCTACGTCACTTAATCCTATTGCAGCTGAAATTTCATCGAAGCTCAATACTATCGAAAATAAAGAGGGAAAAGTCCAGATATACTGGATAAAAGCTCATTGTGGCTTAGTAGGTAATGAGAGAGCAGATGAGCTGGCTAAATATGCCGCTACTAGCAAAAAACAGAGGGCAATTTATGACTTATTCCCATTGTCTTACGCCAAGCACCTCACCAGGAGCAACAATCTGCTAAGATGGCAAATCAAATATGAAGAAGCAGCAACCAGTGGAACCATAAGAACTTTCTTCCCAAATGTTATAACTGCTTATAGGATTTTAAAAAGTATAAAAATAACTAATATTGTAACTCAATTGTTTACCGGTCACGGTGGTAATAAAGCTTATCTTTTTTAGATTTAAGATTTTGCCATCCCCATATTGCACATGCGATGATAGTACAGAACAAACCATAGAACATTTAATTACAGAATGTCCGCGATTTGGAAAACAACGGTATAAGTGTGAATGCAATATGGGAGTGAATATAGTATGTAAGAACTTAAGTACTATTATGACGGACATCGATTGCAGATCTCACTTCATACACTTTGCTCTCTCAATACTTAAGGTTATTAACAAAGAGAATGGGAGCACTATAGTAGAATAAATTTATGTCTCTGTAAAGTCCCTACAATAAAACCATTATGAGTGTGAATTTAACTAAAGTAATAATAATGAACTAATAATAATATGATATAAGCATACATTTTGATAACGTTAGGCTAATAATAACTTGCAAGTAGTAGAATGTTTAAAAGTAAGCTAAAACAGATTATCTTAACAATTGTTATTAAATAGGATAAATAAGTGTAGATAAACTGTACAAAGTAACAAAGCAATAACCATTATAACCGGAACACTATGCTTAAAAATAATTGCAAGTTAGTTTAAACAAAGCCTCATGTTAAGAATTAAGAATATTATTAAAATTAGGCCCAAAACAAAAGTACATTATTTATTTAAGGTGATATTATTGTAAAATTAGGAATTATTCATAAGAGACAAATTAAAAGATACAAAGTAATAACATTATAAAGTCTGAAACAGTATACCTATACATAGAACTATATTCAGAATTGTTATAAAATTAGATTAATTATAGAAGATGATATTATGATAACTGTAAAAAGAACATGTAATAGTATATTGAAACAATGTGTAAACGGAACGGAACTATTTAAGTATATATATAATATATTTCAAAAAAAACAGATTGAAGCCGAGATTCTTGTGAAAAAAGTTATACTTGAAAATGTGACTAAAAATTAACATTTTCGTGCCTGCTCCTGATTTTTGATCGAGGACGTATATTTTTTAATTTTGTAATTTGTGTATATATGTAAGTTCTACGTTTGTGCCAAATTTCAAAATTTTTCTATGCGGAAAACCGGAGTTATTAACATTTTTTTCAAAATACACGTGGTCGGTGATCTTAAGTTAGAGTAACGTGCTATACATCAAAAGACGCGGATTTTGATGCTTTATAATATAGTGAAAACCGCATAAAGCGGCGACTTTACGAAAAAAAGTTATTCAAAAAAAAAGCGATTGAAAATTTATATTTCCTGCCCTACACCCAATCAGTGACATGCATTGTACAGTTTTTATCAGTGGAATAAGTGTATACGCGTAATATCTAAGATCTCACCAAATTTGAGAATTTTCCGTGCAGGAAAAACCTATTTTCCAGCGGTTTTCCGTAAACCACGTGGTCGGCCATTTTGAAAACCAGAAGCGTGCGGCTGGTTCCAAAACTGGATTTCGAAGGACAATCAACAGGTGAACTCATTGTTATGAACAGTTTTTCCAACAATCTCACCGTTTTGACATAAATAGACTTTTTACCCTTATTAATCAATGTACTCCAACTTTCAAAATTCTATATCTCTAGAAGGAATACTCCTAAAATTCTGTTCTAAGTGTTAATAGATAGCGCATATCATACACTACAAACCCTCAAAATTTCAAAATTTTACATTTAATAGTTCAAAAGTTGCAAAAAGTTTTCCATAATTTAAAAATAGTTTTCCGCTCAAAATGTGCAATACTTCTACATTCAGACCTAAATATCTCGCAAACGGTGCAAGATAGCTCAATTTTGAGGCCAGTCTTGGCGGGTATATATAATATATTATATATATATAATATATTATATATTGTCCCCCAGACCTTTGGAACCCCCCCCACCCCCCCACCCCCTAGGACTAAGTTGATAATTTAATATGTGTGAAAACTTAATATTACTGTGTGTGTAGACTTTGAAACTCCTAAATGTTACGACGCCATAGTGCTATTATCGCAGTGTTCTTCCGAAGTGGCCAATCCCCCCCCCCGCTTACGCCCCCTCAGAGAATTAGACGTTCAAATCAAAACTTAATGACCTGGACAATAATTGAAATTTTAAGACTCTATGTGAAAGTGTAGCCATGCCTGCGACTCAGGGAGACCCCCCTGCCCTCCCGGCGACGGCCGAGGAGGTCAGAGACTTTGATACATTCACCTCTGTGATCAACAAGCTGACTTCATGTGTCAGCTCAGCAATAAATGAGGGAAAAAGTGTAACTGCGGTGAATAAGCGCCTGATTAGTCTGGCCATGGAGGAAATCCGCCGGGCTGCCCGAACCCTAAACAGTGTTAACACCATCACCTCTCCCAGCGCATCAGCCCTGGGGGAAATTAAAGAAGAAATCGTGGCCTGTGTCCGCGAGGAGATGACTGGTTTAAGGAAACTGGTCAACACAATGAAAAAACCAACCTACGCCCAGGCTGTCTCTGCGGCCAGTGGGGCTTCTACATCTGTGGGAGGGCCTGCCCCCCGTACCGTACCAACTATCTCAAAGCCTGCCGTAATCATCACCCCGGCTAAAGATGTTAAAACGCGTCAGGAGGCTGTTGAATTATTTAGGAAAAGTATATCATATAGGAACTCCACTTATGCACCGACTAGGGTTCAACCCGTATCCAACAACAAACTCCGCGTGGAGTTTGAAAATGTCTCACAAAGGGATGACACGCTCACAAGGCTAGAGAATAGCAAGGATGTCAAAGCAGAACCCGTGCGTATGCTTAAACCCATGGTTATTCTTAAGGGCATATCCAAGGATGTTCCCTCGGAGGACCTGGTTAAGTTGATCAGCAAGCAAAACCCTGAGATATCCCATTTGATTGAGGGTGAGGGTCGTGACGGTGAGGGCCTCCGACTCCGCTTTAAGCGAGGTAATCGCAATAGTAATCTATATAACGCGGTGTTCCTGGCAGAGGCCAAGGTATACCGTAAGATTCTCGACTTAGGGAGGGTCTGCGTGGATCACCAGAGAATAACCGTGGACAGCTTTTCTCCGTTCTTGCAGTGCCACAAGTGCCTTCAGTTCGGACACATGAGGTCCAAATGCACCGCCACCGAAAGTCTTTGCTCGCACTGTGCTGGCTCCGACCACCAGGTGGACAAATGCCCCGTGAAAAATGAGCCTGGCAGCGTCAAGTGCTATAATTGCACTTCTCACAATGCCAGATTTAAATCCAACCAAGACTGCAAACATACCGCTAATTCCGATAAATGTCCCAGACTGCGAGCCATGAAAGATAAAATAAATCAAAGAGTCGACTATGGATTTGCACCATAAAAACATAAAAATTTTGCAGTGCAACATTGATAGATCGAAAAGCAGTCTTCATGAACTACTTGTGTCTTTCATGGCTGGCAGCCATGACATCGCGTTAATTTCTGAACCATATGTTGGCTCGGGTCTGGAACTTAGAGCTGTTCACGGTGTTCAAATAATACAGTTCCCATCACTGGAAACAAGGGTCAAGGCCTGCATTTTGGTCAGGCCAGGATGCGGCTCCATTATGGGGCTCACACAGTATTCCACACCTAATCTCTGCGTAGCACGCCTCTCTGCCGGGAACCGTGTTATATATATAGCTTCAGTGTACATCGAACCAGATAGAGATGAATCAGCCACTCTGGACAAATTGGATGCCTTTCTTAAGGCAACCGGCGACTCACCTAAAATTGTTGGGGGGGACTTCAATGGCTGGCATCCCATTTGGGGTAGCCCAGTCGCCAATGCTAGGGGTGGTGACGTGGTCGATCTGGTTTATGGTAACGAGTTGGTTGTCTGTAATGTTGGCGATTCGCCCACGTTCGAGACGATCTCTCACGGCCGGCACCGGGATTCAATCATTGACATTACACTAGCATCTGAATCGATATACCATCTCGTATCGGAATGGCAGGTCAACCCCCAGATATGTACCTCATCTCAACACCACGCTATTGAATTTTACCTAAACAGTCCTAATTCTGATTTGTACACTAACAATAACACATCCACCTTCATTTATAAATCGAAAAAAGCCTGTTGGCCTTTATTTAATGAAACTCTTCACTTACACTTAACACAATCTGATATCTTGGACATTAATATATCTGCCCTGAATCCCTCCGAGTTGGATGACCTCATAGCCAAAGTTGTGGAAATTATCCACATTGCCTGCCGTAAAAGTATGCGGATGAGAGGTAAGGGAGGGAAATACAAGCCCCCTTGGTGGTCAGAAGAACTAGAGGCTCAGAAGCTCGAGATAATAAAATTGCATCATCGCATACAGGAGGCAAAGAGACGCGGTCTAGCCATAGAGGACTTAGTTCAGCAACACATGACTCTCAAAGCAGCATATGCACAAAACTTAAGAGCTGAGTCCACAAAAAGCTTTAGGGATTTTTGCAGCCTTCAAACCAAGGAGAATGTCTGGTCCCTGACTAATAGACTATTAAAAGAGTCCACTGCTAGACGCCCACCTACCACCTTAAAAATAAATAATAAGTTCACTGCGGACAATTCTGAAACTGCAACTGCACTGCTTAACCATTTTTATCCTCCTGATCTACCAGACACTGACCCCCGTCATCACGAGCTGACTGCCCACCTCGATGACACTTTGGACACCAATGATGAACCACCCTTCACTTCAGAGGAGGTGCTGGAGCACTTGAGTCTAATGAACCCCAATAAGGCTCCCGGGTTAGACAATCTAACTTCGGATATTTGCCTGCAGTTCACAAAAAACTATCCGCGACTTATAACTGACATTATGAACAGGTGTCTGGCGCTTCAGCATTTTCCCGACTGTTGGAAGGTGGCGTATGTTAAAATTATCCCCAAACCAAGTAAGAGTGATTATGGTGAATTAAACTCTTTTCGTCCCATCAGATTGCTTCCTGTGTTTGGCAAACTGTTGGAAAGATTGTTTATCAAGCGTGTCACCTTTTGAGCCGCTGGCAACAACCACAGCTGCCCACGGCAGTTTGGCTTCCGCGAGCAAACAAACACAACCGCGGCCATTAACTCTGCGCTCGGCGTTATTCGTCGGGCCAAGGAAAGTGGGGAGCTGGTGATCGCACTATCATTGGACATCAAAGCGGCCTTCAACAATGCCTGGTGGCCGGCACTATTCCACAGGCTGAGGCTGATGAACTGTCCTCACAACATCTATGGACTCATTTGCAGCTACGTTCGAAACCGCGTGGTGACTCTCGATCATGCCGGGGTCAGGGTCACCAAGATGATGACTAAGGGATGCATCCAGGGTTCCGCCTGTGGCCCGGTGCTGTGGAACATCATTCTTGATGAGCTCCTTGAAGAGGAACTTCCGGCAGGTTGCCATATACAGGCGTTCGCAGATGACGTGTTCCTTGTCGTGTCAGCCAAAGATGTCCACCGGCAGTGTTAGTCGCACTCTCAGTGCGACTAACACTGCGCTCTCTCGTATCACTGCATGGGGAAGTAGTGTAAAATTGGTATTTGGTCCCTCCAAAACTCAAATGATCGCGTTCACACCTGGTGCAAAGACTGCAAAAATCACTATGAACGGACACACATTAAAATTCTCTTCTGATGTCAAATTGTTGGGTGTCATGCTGGATGAAAAACTGCTATTCAATAAGCACATCCAGTATGTCATCGGTAAGGCGACAAAAATTTTTAATAAACTTTGCCTATTTACACGGCCTACTTGGGGTGCACACCCGGAGAACATACGCGCTATATACCATCAGGTAATTGCACCTATTGTGACATATGCTGCTGGTGTATGGGGGCACGTCGCTTCCAAGAGAGGAGTCAGAAAGCGGCTGGAGAAAATGCAGAGAGGATTCGCCATCAAGGCGATTAAGGCATTTCGTACCGTCTCCACATCGGCTGCTCTGGCCCTCGCCGAATTTACACCAATCGACTTAAAAATTCAGGAGGTTCATGCGGTGGAAAGGACTAGATTGTCCTGCACGTCAGACTTTCTACCGCATGACATAACTTATGAAAAGCCAACACAATTACACGAACTTTTGCACCCCAGTGAGAGGATCACCATTCAACATGACACACTACATAGCCAGCGGGAGGTGGATGCCGCCATCAGTCCTGACTCGGTCTGTATATATACAGACGGTAGCAAGCAGGAGGACGGGGCTGTTGGGGCGGCCTTTGTTGCCTACGTTCCCGCGGGTGACTCACCCAACACTGTAGTTAAAAAATTCAAACTGCATGACTCATGCTCCGTATTTCAGGCTGAACTGCTAGCCATATTTAAGGCTTGCAACTGGACCCTTAACAATAATCACATCCAAACTGTTTTATTTTCCGACTCTCTTTCTGCTATAAAGGCTATACAAAACCGAAGTAATACTCACCCTATAGTGGTTGAAATACATAAAACAATTCATGAAATTAGGAAGTCTGGCTGCATTAAGATAGTATGGGTGAAAAGCCATGCGGGTATTGTGGGAAATGAAATGGCGGACATGGCAGCCAACGCTGGCTGTAAACTACACAAAACATCAGACTACGCACACTTTGCCATCTCGTATACAAAACATTTAATACGCACTAAACACCGGGCTCTATGGCAGACCCGTTACGAGAGTGCAGAACAGGGCAGACACACTAAAACACTTCTCCCCACACTTGATGACATTACCACACTCAACAAAATCACCTGTCCTGACTTCTACTTAACCCAAGTTCTCACCGGTCATGGCTTTCACAAGTCATATTTATATCGGTTCAAAATCACTCCTGATGACAGATGTCCTTGTGATGATATTACGTCCCAAACGCTGGAACATCTGTTGGAAAAATGCCCCGCGTTCGGTGCACAGAGAGCCACCCATGAGATATTATGTGCCAATGTGAGAGTGTCACCCTATAAAATAGTTGATATAATGAAAAAAGAGTCCAGTTGGAACTCTTATGTAACGTTTGTTAAATATATATTATCACGCCTTAAAAGGTTCAATGTTAATAATTAAAAATACATTAACTTATACAGTTTATATTTTTCTCTATTTTTATTTCACGTCCATCATGTTTTTATTTTATACTGTCATATCTCGGCATAACATAAATTGTATATATTAATTCTGTCTAGTTTTAAGATTTTCTGTAAAAAATTTCGAAATTTTTTTTTGTTTTTTTTTTCTGTTTGTTAAGTCAGTAAGTTTTGTTTTATATCCCATTTTACCTGTTATTTCTTGTTAACAATTAAGGTCCAATATCAATAATTTGGTACACATTGATTCATATTTTGTATATATTCTTCATCTTTACTTCACGCTCATTTAGTTTTATTTTATATTATCACAACATCATTCTTCTTGTATCTTAGCTGTTAATTGTCTCTTATCATATGTATAGTATTTTATAGTATATTTAGGCTAATATTACATCTTATCTTTATTGTAACTCCTTATTACATTAAGTTGCGGCGACGTGAGACTAACGAATCCAGTTTTTAGTATAGTGAAATTGTAAATTTGAAAAATTGAAAACTAATTCTTTGATATTAAAGTGTGCCAACTGTAACAATTATTATACTTGTACATTACTGTAAATTTTTTAATATTAATAACATTTTTTTCCCTTTCTTTCTATATTGTTTTCTACCATTTAGTTAACTATTCAAAAATGTAAATATAAGCTCTCAATGACAGTGTGCCCACTGCAAAAAATATTTGTTTTAGTATAAGTTGTCTTATGTTTTATGTGCTTTTACATTGTTAATCCTTAAATTTTTTTCTCTCTTCTAAATACAAATGTATATATTTTGTTTTTCTTCTTCTACTACTTTTAAGCAAAATGTACATTGACTGTATCCAATCGCAGTCAATTTGTATAATTTTACTTGTGAAACATTGTTATAATAAGTGGTGTTTAATTTTAAGCAAATTTTGTTCTAAATACAAATGTATATATTTTGTTTTTCTTCTTCTACTACTTTTAAGCAAAATGTACATTGACTGTATCCAATCGCAGTCAATTTGTATAATTTTACTTGTGAAACATTGTTATAATAAGTGGTGTTTAATTTTAAGCAAATTTTGTGGAAACAGACAATACAATCCCTCTGGAGGTGGTGTAACCCCCGGAGGAAAAAAAAAAAAAAAAAACGTAACCTAACCTAACCTAACCTTTTTTTTTTACCACCCCGGTGTCTCCTCGCACGTGCACGCGCGGGGCCGCGGGAATCCAAATTCTTCCGCAGCCCCACACTAGTGCTGGCCCGGTCTGTACGGGCCTCGTCTCCTGCACGGGGTAGTGAGGTGTTCAACTACCCCCTGTATCACCTC